CTAGTAGATAATGACTGAGGGCCCATTCTGCTCCATCCTCATTCCGTGGTATACTGGGTGGCTTCAGGGAATTACTGAGTGAGGACCCAACCTGGGTTGTCTAAAACACATCATGATGGCGAAACTGCGCATGTTACCTAGGTGTGATATGGTGCTGGACAGTATATGGGTGAAAGACATGAAAACATCCTGTGAATTAACAGAAACCTAAGCCAATTTCTCTGCTGTACTCGCTCATGTACAGAGAATTATTTTCAAAACACAGACTGACAGGGGTGCAACTGCTATGTGGCATTGTGCAGGCAGCATGGGCACCACCACCTATGGGAGGCCACGGTCTGGGCACCTGCTGAACACCAGGCTGCCAGATTGAGGCTTCAGCAGACTTTGTCCACCTGAGGTTTCCTGCAGGACAATCGACCCCAAAGGGTTCATAGTTGGGGCTCAGGCCACCATATCAAAAAGAACAAGACAAGCCCTGAGACCAGGGCAGCTCTGGTGGTTGGATATGCTTCTCCTGGGGTGACATGAGATCTGATGTCCTTACCTCACCTGTGGATGAGGTAACAGAGGATCAGAGAGCCTCAGCAGCAAACTCAAGTGGTAGGACACACTTTAAACCTAGGTCTGTTCAAATGTAAAGTCTTTCACAGCTTAATGTCCCATTCCTCCCCCTGAGGATATGGTCAGTCATTTCATTCACATTTGACACCCATCCATTCTCTTTTTTTCCCACTTTACTCCATTATGTTCATCAAGCTTTCTCCAAATGAATAGTGCCTTTTGGACTTTCCTCAGCATAGAGTGCATCTTTGCCTTGACAAAATCTCTTGGGTTGGCCAGAAGCTGAACGCTAAGCTATATGTCAAACACAATTGAAAATCTCTATGGACACGGGGACTGGTGCTGTGACATAGAAGGTGAAGCCACCACCTGTGATGTTGGCATCCCATATGGGCACCAGTTCGTGTTCCAGCTGCTCCACTTCCAATCTAGCTCCCTGCTAATTGCCTGGTAAAAGCAACTGAAGATGGCCCAACTGTTTGGGTTCCTGTAACCCACCTGGTAGACCTTAACAAAGCTCCTGGCTCCTGGCTTCCACTTGGCCCAGTACTAACTATTTTGGCCCTCTGGGAAGTGAACCAGTGGATGGAAGATATTCATTCTCTCTCTCTTTCTCTTTCTCTCTGTGTGTGTGTGTGTTTGTGTGTGTATGTCAGTCTTTCCCTCTCTCTATGTAACTCTGACCTTCAAAATAAATAAATAAATAAATAAATCTTTAAAAATTCCTCTATGGGGGGCCGGCACAGTGGGTTAAAGCCCTGGCTGAAGCGCCGGCATCCCATATGGGTGCCAGTTCCAGTTCCGGCTGCTCCACTTCTGATCGAGCTTTCTGCTGTGGCCTGGGAAAGTAGTGGAGGATGACCCAAGTCCTTTGGCCCCTGCACCCACATGGGAAGCCCGGGGATAGGTCCTGGCTTCTGGCTTCAGATTGGCGAAGCTCTGGCCATTGTGGCCAACTGGGGAGTGAACCAGCAGATGGAAGACCTCTCCCCCTCTCTCACTCTGTTACTCTCCTCTCTGTGTAAATCTGACTTTTAAATAAATAAGTAAATCTTTAAAAAAAACCTCCTCTATGGAAATGTGTCATCCAACGCTATTCTCAACATCCCACAACATTTCCCTTGAACAAGTGCCAAGAGCCACCATGCAAAACATTATGCCTCTGGAAAGCCAAGACACTCTGGCAAAAAGATCTCTGTGAGTGAGATCCCAGTGGAAAGAACAGGTCTTCAAAGAGGGAGGTGCCTTTCTCTGAAGGGAGGAGAGAACCTCCACTTTGACTATGACCGTGTCCAAAACAAGATAAGAGTCGGAGAACTTCAGGGGGCTTCCCATAGCCTTGGGAACTCATAACTGGGGCATAGGGGAGATTACTTGATGCCATAAAACAGGAATGTCATTTTGTAAAGTTCAACAACCAGGATCCCCTGTGGCCCTACCCTCCTCCTGTGAGACCCCGGTCCCTAAAGCGGCTGGTCCACTGAAAGGTTTAATGCTATAAC